TGGGTAGATATGATTTTATTTGCTTTAATTACATTTTATATAGTAGTCATGAACCAATCATCTGTGCCTTAGTTTTTTAAAAACTGAGCTACAGCTCCTCTGGTCTTCTATTTATCTTTCAGAGTGAGGAGAGAGGAAGTGATGGAGGGCAGCATGAAGTTTAAGACCTTTCATGTATGTGGTAAATATCAGAGCATCTAATGCTGTTAACGATTTTATGTAGTCATCGGTTCCCACTTCATCTGAATTTCTAAATATTCCATTTTGTCTAATATTTGGTTTTTTTCAGGAGTATTGAGGAGAGGAGAAACCAAAAAGAGATATGAATAGAGAAAACAGAATGGAAATAGGCAGATGGCAGAGAAGAGGAGATGGGAGGCGTATTGACATATGAATATTTGGAAATGGTCAGTATAATTTTATTTGAAGGTTGAAGGTTCAAATCTCGGTGCCAGCAGTGTCAAAGTGTCCTTGGGCAAGACACTGAACCCCCCCGATGGCTAGAACCATCGGTTGAGGTGGCGCCGCAGATGGCTGCCATCGGTTCTATACCAGAAACAAATTCCTTGTGTGTAACATACTTGGCCAATAAAGGTGATTATCCAAATTGTCTGTAGACAGGATGTCTGTATCTTCAAGTATTTTTGCATGTGCACAAACACGCATTCATATATAGTGGGCATGTGTGTTACTCACTAGGTCCTACAATAGCATCACACACAGGGGGGCCTGCAGCCCAGACCACCCATTGTTCAGTGTTGATCAAGCTGCCACCTGAGAAGCACACACACACACACCTGGTTTAGATCACATTTCAGCAAGCAGACGCAGGCAGGGGTTGACCTGCTCACACCAAATGGCCAATAGGATTACGAAGTGTGAAATGTTGTACCTCTGTCAAGGGCAGGCCTAGCCCAAGAAGATAAATATAATGAGAAAACGTAACTCGTTCAGAGAACGGATTTTCTGCAGGAGCTCTGTCTCTCACATCCCAGAGCTGTAAGACTTCACCTGTGCCCAGACTTTGAGTAAACTTCCTGTTGATTTTAAACAGTCCTCATCTGGTCTTCACTTCTCGCGCTTTCAATAAAAGAACTTGGGTTAAATCTAACAATAGTAAAGAAATGACATTCAAACACTCATCACTAAAGATATCAGCAGAGGAAAATAAAAGAAAACTGACAAACTTCGCGTGTGTAACAAGACCAATCAGGTGTTAATATTAACGTTACCTGGGCACATGCTTTGCATTATAAGAAACCAACACAACTTTGTGTCCCTCCAATAGGAGTGTTCTCGTTTATCTTCATGGTGCCAAACCAGACAAACACCATTAAGACTGATTATAACAATAAACTAAATTCAACCCTTGTACGTACCATTAATATATTATAACAGCTTGATACTGAATTGCATGATGGAGACCATTCTGCCCACGGATGTATTAAGGAGAAACGATAAATTTTTCAATGTCTGTATTGTGAGAATGCCATAACGTTAATACATTCAATTATAATGAAAGTAAAAATCACATGCAATTACAAACACACCTTTCATCTAGACACGCTTATATTAGGAGATGGAAATCGCCTCAAGGCGTTTCACAAACGAACATATTTATTAGCACTTTTATTCTATTTCAGAATCTGTGTGTATGTACATGCACATGTGT